CAGTGTGTGCACCCCAGGGTGAATGGTGAGAGAGTGGTGACTGTGTGTACGGGGTTAAGGAAGTACCTGTCCAGTTTCTACCTGCAGTTTCTATTTTCCGTTCATCACTGGGAAGTACCTTGTGGAGGAGCTATTTGGGGAGCAAGCATTCATCCTATTAGATTGACCCTATTTGGGATGCTAGAGCAAAAATACCTTGTACTTGGTGCCAGAAGTTTGTATTGATTATGATTTCAGGGACTGAGAAGGCCCGAGGTCAAGGCGCTGGCTGGCCTGGTGTCTGGCGAGGGCCAGTGCCTCCTGGGGTTTTAGCAGGTGCCTTCCTGAGCCCTCACGTGGTGAGGGATGACCATGGCACGTGGAGGGGTTCATTTACAAGGATACTAAATTCGTGCTCTGCCCTGAAGACCCAGACACCTCCCCACACCTTCATGCCCCTTCTAACACTCCTACCTTGCAGACTAGGGTTCAGCATGACGGTCTTGGGGGGCGGGCAGTATAGACACTAAGACCAAAGACCCTCGTTTCCTGCCAATGGGGCCACTGCCACTTGGCATCGTTCACGATTCTTCATCACTGTGAAGTTGGCAAATGGTCATTATCACCATATAGTATTTCTTCTGTAGCTAACCATTGGACTTCTACCATAAAGAAGGGGACCTTTTCTCTATTTATTTATTAATTCAATGTTTATGTCCATATGGACTCTTGCATATTTATTCTGTAAGTTACATGATGACTCAATGGGCTCTGGAGGAGAGGCACCTTTAAGTTGGTTCCTGTGTCTTCTGACAAGACTTGCTCTACTAAAAAAAAGTATCTACTGGGGCCAGCATGGTGGCATATCATGCTAAGCTTCCATATACAAGCACCGGCATCTCTAATGGGTGCCAGTTTGTGTTCCACCTGCTGTGCCCCAACTTCCAGCCCACTGGTCATTTCCAGTGCCATGAGAAGCTCTAGCTTCATTTTCTCTTCCTGACTCAGCCCTTGCAGTCCGCCACTTCCTTTAAGCGGATCCTTTCCCTGGAGGGCACCTAGGAGCCAAGTGTTCTCCTGGCCAGTGGGATGTTGTCATCCCAGGCTCCTCCAGCAGCTAGAAGTAGGACACACCTAGTCACCTGCTTCGCTGGCTCTACCAAGGGATCTGTCCTTAAAAGACACAAGTACAGGCAAGGGAAATGGAGCAGGCAGGACACGAACCAGGGCCCCTATGGGATTCCAGTGGTTGCAAGGCAAAGGGTGTTAGGGGACTGCGCCAGACCCACATGTATGTTTCTTACAGTCCCTCTTTCTTACCCAAAAGTTACTCTTCACTGTTGTCATTTTTTTAAAACCATAGTTCAACTCTGTCCTATCAAGTTCGTTTAAGTCATCCATGTAACCACCAGGATATGATGACTTTTAAGAGAGTCTCTGAATAACATAAAATTCCATGCTCAGTGGCTTACACAGATGTGTCTTAAGTCAGGCTTAAGTTCTTGACATTTCCCAAAGAAAGTTAAGATTTAAGGGCTGGTACTGAACTAGTTCAGTTGCTGCCTGCAGTGCCAGTATCCCATATGGGTGTCAGTTCGAGTTTTGGCTGCTCCACTTCCAATCCAGCTCCCTGCTAATGCACCTGAGAAAGCAGAGGAAGATGGTCCAAGTACTTGGGCTCCTGTACTTACACAGGAGACCTAGAAGAAGCTCCTGGCTTCTGGTTTCAAACATGGTGAGTGAATCAGCGGACAGATGATCTCTCTGTGTAGCTCTGCCCTTCAAATAATTTTTTTTAAGAAAAAGTTAAGATTCTGAGTAGTGCATGGAAGTATGTCCAGTTCAGAGAAAACTTTATCTGCCACATATTTTGGGCTGCCCCTCTCCCTGCCTTGAGAAACTTCCACTGTGCCTGTCTGGGTCTCCCCCCACCCCCTGGTGCCCGTTGCCTCTCTGGTATTGCCTGGTTTTGATCCTCTATGGTCTCTGCTCCGAATTGGGGGATGCACCGTTGAGCAGGTGCCCTAACCCACCCCCTCAGCTTCCTCCAGGTCCCACTGTTCTGCTTGCTGTCCACTTGGAGCTTTATACCTTGCTGGTCAAGGATGTTTCTTCATCTCAGTAGGTCATTTCTTCTTTTCTTTCTTTTTAAAAAAGATTTATTTATTTTTATTGGAAAAGTAGATTTACAGACAGAAGGAGAACACAGAGGAAGATCTTCCATCTACTGGTTCACTCCCTAAATGGCTGCAGTGGCTGGAGCTGAGCTGATCTGAAGTCAGGAGCCAGGAGCTTCTTTCAGCCTTCCCATGCAGGTGCAAGATCCCAAGGCTTTGGGCCGTCCTCAACTGCTTTCCCAGGCCACAAGCAGGGAGCTGGATGGGAAGTGGAGCAACTGGGACATGAACCTTATATGGAATCTCAGTGCTTGCAAGGGAAGGATTAGCCAATTCAGCCATTGTGCGAGGCCCTCATTTCTTTAAAAAAAAAAAAAAAAGTTGTTTTGGGCCCAGCGGCGTGGCCTAGTGGCTAAAGTCCTTGCCTTAAACACGCTGGGATCCCATATGGGCGCTGGTTCTAATCTAAGCAAGGATGCTGAGCCGCCTGTCCTGTGCTTACTGTCTTGCTGGTTGCTGTCTTCCGTGAACTTGTAAGAGTTGTGCCTGTTTGAAAACTGCACAGTTTATCTTTATAACTTTTATTTGTCTGTAAGAATTCTTTGATTATTCTGGACATGTCGCATGTTTTCCAGCATGAAGCTGAGTGGGCAGTAAAGCTGTCCACTGAGATAGGAAGGCAAGAGATGGAGGGGAGAGACAAGAAATTCATTTCAGGGCACGGAGAAATTTAAGCGCCTGTGGGTTGATGACCTGGGAACAGATATGCAGAAAGCACTTGGAGTTTAAGAGCAAGGCCCGAGTTACAGACATGGGAGGGGCTGGCTGAGGCTGTCCAGTGAGAAGACAAGCCATGTCACAGATGAAGAAAACAAAACTAGAAAAAGAAAACTGAAATGGTGGTCCACTGGGGCGATGGCTCAGAAACCCCGGGGCGGCAGGTGGGAGGGCATTTTCAGGGAAAGGTGAGTCAGAAGCAACAGGGTGAGGTAAGAAAGTGAGAACCCTGGGTAGGACATTTGGGGGTTTCCTGGTGACCTTATTTCACAGCCTTGGGGAGCACAGGCAAGAAAGATGAGGAAGTGGAGACGGGGGTAGACTCCTGTCTGAAAACGTCAGGAGGAGGAAGGGACACGTGTTCACAGACAGACGCACAGCGCACAGCAAGGCGACGCTCCGCTGCAGCTCGCGTGCAACAGGTGTCCAACCACAGACAGGTCTGAATGAGCGACAGGCACCTTCACTCCTTCCCGCCTTTCCCCTTCCATGCCCTCCTCCCACCAACCCAGCAGTGCAAGCACAGCTTGGGGCAGGGAGAGCGAGGGGGTGGTCAACAGGTGCCCATGGGGGGCCTGGGTGGAATTGGGCTCCAGGGAGGAGGACCACACAAACTCACAGGAGGCCCACTTTGGCCCCTCCATCCACATACTGGAGAGTCTGGAGTTGACGCCCCGCTCTGGATGCTGACGCCAGCATCCTGCTTAACACAGACCTAAGGACATAACAGAAGATGACCCAAATAACCGGGTTCATGCCTCCCAGGTGGGAGATCTAGCCTGGGGTTCCCAGCTCCTGGCCTCAGATGGGCCCAGTCCTGGAGGATGTGTCTGCCTAAAAAGGTGAGCCCCCCACCCCATTTCTGAGGGGGACCCAGAGGGCTCCACTGGAGTGAGCGACTGGCTTTCTGCATCTTGGAAGACTCCAGCAGCACCTTAGGCTTCCAGCACAGGAGTGCAAGGTGTGTATTTGTGTGTGTGTGTGTGTGTGTGTGTGTGTGTGTGGTGGGGGTCAACAGGAGGAGGCTGCAGGAGAGCCCCTGGAGCTTTGTCTCCATCCATTTCAGTGTTTAAGGAAGTTGCTTCTCCTTGATATTTAGGGAGCCAGAACCAAGAAGGAGGGCTTAGGGGACCACGTGGGACCATGGCCAGGTCTACCACCTCAAGGCTGGCCCGAGATGCCCCTAACAGGTAACAGCCTGGCAGAGTGGGAAAGGGGTGCCCTAAAATAAAGTCCCCCATCACCGCCTCCCGCGGTGGGAGACTGCAGGATGGGGGCTGGAGGTTGAAGGGAAGCAGCCAGACCTGCATTTTGTGAATAGGGAAACTGAGGCATCAGACAGCACCTTCACTGGGGGGGGGGGGCGCAGAAGGATGGGCTGTCTTCTGAGATATCCTTCCGAGGTTAACCACGGTTTCCGGGTCGTCTGGGGAGGAAGAGAGACAAGAAGAGCGTCCTACTGCCCAGAAAAAGTGGGGGACAGCAGCTGAGCGACAAGAAGCCTGGTGCAAGGCCAGACCAGGGAGTCTCTGGGCCCACTGGCTTTCCCAGGAATTGCGGAGGGTTGGGGGGCCAGGGCCCTCAGCACAGCACGCGTGCGGGCACTTTTAGGGTTAAGAGCACCCGAAGAAAATAGAAGTGGGAGGAGGAAGTGGGGCTCTGAGTTAGGCCCGAGGAGGAAGCAGCTCGTCAGGGCTTCCTCTTTCTCCCCTTTCCCCGAAGCCCCCACCCCAGACCCACCCCCACCCACCCCAACACACACTGCTCCGCCCACTGCCCCCAACACGATGCCACGCTGCCGCCCCCCTCAGCCGAACCTCACTTTTATTGCTTGTGGAGTCGCTGGTCGGTGCTTGGCACTGGGGTCGGTCCACTTGCCACAGCCGCGCATCTTGCCAGGGCTTCACTTTCCCAGGGTTCGAGCGGGGGACGGGGGGGGACGGGGGGGCGGAGGGCTGCCTTCTGGACTCTTCGCGGGATTTCTGGAATATCCCGGCCGGGGCAGGTACCTGGCTGATACTGCCCCCGCCACAAGGTGGCGGCAGAGGCCGGCGAGAGGCAGTCCCGCCCCTGGCCCCGCCTGCACACGCCCCCGTGCGCCCTCGTCCCACCCCTGAGCCGCGGGAGCCCCGGGGCTAGCGGGTTGATGCAGACTTGCTCCGCTCCAGCCCCGGGCGCGGTGGTCCCGACTCGAAGCCCGGGGAGTCGCCGCTGGAGAGGGGCTCGGTGCCCGGCGGGGGACTGCAGGTGTGTGGAGCGGGAGCAGGCCGGGGAGGAGCGGCTGCAAGAGGTGGCCTTGGACAGGTGTGGCCGTCTCCGGACGCTGTGAGGAGGACGCCACCGCCTGGGACTGTGCCTCACGAAGTCGCTGGGACGCTGGGAGTTCGCGCGCGCTTGCTCTCTGTGCGCGCTGGCAGCCAGCCGGGGGTCCTTTGGTTGCCAGGAGTCGGGGGTCTTGGGAGTGCCCTGGGGAGAGCCTCCTGCCCCTTCGCTAGCGAGCCGATCCGGGACTGTGGCTGCCGAGGGTGCGGGTCTGCATCTTCGGACCTGACGTGAAGGCGTGTGTGTGTGTGTGTGTGTGTGTGTGTGTGTGTGTGTGTGTGTGTGTGTGCACGCGTGCGCGCCGGGGGTGGGAGTGCACCCGCCAAGAAGTTGGAGTTTGTAGTAGAAAGACAGGCTGCTGAATGGGAGAGAGCAGGCGACATGAAAGCCGCAGGATGTGGTGTGAAGTGAGCAGGCTCCTGCAGTGAGGGGGATGGTGGTGGGTGGGTAGAGGAGAGGAAGGCTTGAAAATAGGCCAAGTGTGGCTGGGAGCTCCCCTCCCCATAGCTGGTCTCTGGTTCCCTTGGTCCTGGAGGAGGTCGCTTATGAAGAAGCTGTGCATGGACTGCAACCATTTTTTTTTTTTTTTTTGCACCAAAACAAACCCACCCACTTTTAAAGACTTATTTATTTGAAAAACAGAGTTACAGAAAGAGGAAGAGATGTTTCATCAGCTGGTTCGCTGCCCAAATGGCTGCAACAGCAGGAGCTGGACCACGTGGAAGTCGGGAGCCCAGAGCCTCTTCCAGGTCTTCCACGTGGGTGCAGGGACCCAAGCATTTGGGCTAGCCTCTGCTGCTTTTCCAGGTGTATTAGCAGGGAGCTGGATGGGATATGGAGTAGCCAGGACTCCAGCCAGAGTCCCTGTGGGATGCCAGCATGGCAGGCAGACAGCCGGGAACTTCACCCGCTATGCCATGGCACCAACCTTCAAACCCAACTTTTAATTCCAAGTCCCATAAAATGTATGGACACTTTGTTTTCCCTCTGCTGTGAGGACCTCCTGGTCCTGGGCTCCCACTGCTGACCACAGTCAGTGCGTATAAACACACAGATCAGCCAGGCTAAAGAGAATGAACTCTAAATAGACACCAGGGCCACCGCCTGGGAACCCCGTGTGTGATGTGGAAAAGACAGCTGAGCTGCAGGCTGTGTGAGCGTCAGCCTCGTACAAGCCCTGTCCGAGCCGCAGTCTCCATAGCTGAGACATGAGACCTGGTGCACGGGGCTGTGTGGGAAGTTCAAATGGAAACAGGTGGGATGAAGGCAGGTGAGTGTGGCAGCTGGCCCACGGCTGTTTACAGAACGAGGACTTGGACATCCAGGGCGTCCCAAGTGTGGCCTCCATGGTGTGAGTCTCCAGTTAGGGGCCTTTGGGGGGCAGTGTAGAAAAGGAGGGGGGTCCATCCCTCTTCCTGCTTTGGGGTACAGAAAGGCTCGAGGGCTGTCTGTGCTGGGGTTGGAGGAGCCCTTCTCCGCCTGTTTCCAGCTCCAGTGGGTGCTGGTTGTGGTGTCCCCTCCCCCAAGCTTCAGGGAAAGCAGGACCACCTCTGCCTCCCACCTCCTCTTCCTCCCTCTCACACCCTGAAGGTTATTGGGTGAGGAAGGTGTTTAGGGTGGGTTGGAAGCTCTTCTGCAGGCATGGGGTACCCAACATCCCAGGACTTGTTGCCGCTGGGATTCGAGTGAGCTGGGGAGTGGAAAGGCCTTGCTTTTGTTGAAGGAGCCTCCTCCTCCCCACGGGCTGGGCCATGTGGGATGCCTGTAGGCCAGAAAGCATCTTTTGGTCTCAGCTGGTTGGGCTGAAAGACTGAATGATGGATGCCCCAGGCAGCAACTGTGCATTCTGCCATAGGTTGTTTTCCTAAGGCTTGCTTGCAGTGCTCACCCCAAGGCCAGTGCGAAGACCTTGAGAGTTGTCAGCAGTAGCCATTTTTCTTCCTTAGGGGACGTGGCCTCTTAGATTCTGTTCCACACTTTTGTATTTGGGGTGTGTACTCTGCAGGGATGCGTAGACTGCTGCTGCTGCTTCGCACAGGGATCTTGGCCGGCTTGCACTCCGTTGTAAGCGAGATCTTGGTGGATTGTGCTGCCTGCCTTTCCATGTCTAGTCCTTAGGGCCTGGCAGAGTCTCTTGTTGGAGAGTTTGTGATTCTGGCATGCCTTTTTCTCATGCACCCTGGGACTGCTTAAGACAGGATTGTGGTCCTCCCTCTGTCATTCATCATTTTCTTTTTCTAACATTTATTTATTATTATTTATTTTTTGAAAGATAGAGTTACAGAGGAGAGGAAAAGATTTTCCATTCACTGGTTTACCCCTGGCTACAATGTCAGGAGCTGAGCTGATCTGAAGCCAGAATCCAAGTTCTTTCCACACAAATGCAGGATCCCAAGGCTTTGGGGCCATCCTCTTTTGCTTTCCCAGGCCACAGCAGGGAGTTAGATGGGAAGTGGAGCAGCCGGGACATGAACCAGTGCCCATATAGGATGCTGGTGCTTGCAAGGTGAGGATTAGTTGATTGAGCCATCACACTGGGCCCCATCATCCATCTGTCTTTCTGGCCTTTATCTGTTTCCCTTTGACTATGCCTGCATGGATTCAGGCTTAAGTATTTGATGCCCTTTAACCTTCACAGTTATGTCTGCCCTCATTTTCTGTGCAAGAAAGCTCCAGGCTGAGTCCGCAAGGGTGGAAGGTGCTGCAACTGGGCTGGCTCTGAAGTCTGCCCTTGACCAGGGATGGCCAAGGCTTAGCGACAACCTGCTGGCAACTGCAGGTGTCAAAGGCTTGTACAGAACTATGTTTCGTGTCGCTCTGTTTGCTTCTGGGCTCTGGAGAGTTCAGGTCATCACTTAAGTGGCTCCCACATAGGTGAGACGGAGTTGTAGTGAGGTATGCCCTGCAGGAGGAGGAGGCTGAATCGGGGACTTTGCTAGACTCTGAGCTCTAGGATTTGGCATTGGTGGAGAACCCCTGCCTGTAGGCTCCGCCGCTGTCCCGCTGTCATGGCGGTGTGAGATCACAAACCTAGTGAAGCTGCGTCCCCCATCAGTATGGCTGGCCAGGTGCACCCCTCCTGCTTCATTGCCTCAAGTTCAGGCAGACCGCTGGGCCTTTGCACGTGCTCACTGTCTCCTCCTTTCTGTGGCTCTTAGCATGTGTCGCCTTGGCCTACAGGGACTACCCAACGACAGCACAGCTGTGGCCTGCTTGGGGTCATGCTGTTGCCGAGAAACCCCCACGCACACCAACGGTGGAAGCTCCCTGGACCCAGGATGCCCTAGGCGGAGTGTGGGGGTTGGGCGTTTGTGCTGGGGTGGGGACAAGGAGGGAGGGAGGGGTGAGCTTTTCATTTTCATGTCCTCGGGAGGGAGCATGGGCTGTGCAGTTGTTGTCCTAGGCAAATGAGCTTGTGTGGTTTCCTTCCCCGGGCAGGACCAGGGGAGGGGGATGTGGGGCTGGGCAGGGTGGGAGTAAGGGTGGAAAGCAGGGCTTGTCTCTGCCCGACTCCTCCACTCCCAGCCACGCGAACCTGACTGAACCGTATGCCCTTCTGAGTGTCAGTTTTCCCATCTCTAGAATGGGTGGGTGTGAACATTGATGCTTGCTGTAGTCCTTGCCTAGCCGCCTAGCCTCTACCGTTCAACTCCTTTGCTCAGCACTTTGTAGGGTGGAAGGCCAGACACTGAGCTCAAGTATTCTTTTATTTGTCACATGAGAATTATGGGACGCCATGTCATTATGGAAAAGGAAGCAAAATAAACTTTGTGGGAGGGGAATGCTGGGGAGGGCCAAGGAAAGACTTCCTGATGAAGTCATATTTTTCTTAAAGATTTGATTATTTTTATTGGGAAGGCAGAACAGATTTACAGAGAGAAGGAGAGACAGAGAGAAAGATCTTCCATCTACTGGTTGACTCCCCAAGTGGCTGCAATGGCTGGAGCTGAGCCAACCTGAAGCCAGGAGCCAGGAACTTCTTTTGGATCTCCCACGCTGGTGCGGGGTCCCAAGGCTTTGGGCTAACCTTGACTGATTTCCCAGGCCACAAGCAGGGAGCAGTATGGAAAGTGGAGCTGCCAGGACATGAACCAGCACTGACATGGGATGCTGGTGCTTGCAAGGTGAGGATTTAGCCATGTAGACATAGTGCCGATCCCTGAAGTCATATTTGAGCTGAGCTGCTTAGTAAAAAGGAAACAGCTGTTCCTGTCAGAATCCCTAGAACATGGCAGATGCTAGAAGCTCTTGGGGTGTGCGCTGTCACACATCTTTTCACAGCTCTGGGTGTGTGTCGGGGGTGTTGGGGTGTGGGGTGTATGGACTTGCAGCTTTGTGAGAATTAGACATCAGAACTGCGGACAGATCCCTCATGCTGTGCCTGGAGTGGGCCAGGGACTCGTTGCCTGTCTCCTCACCCCGTCCCCACACTCCAGGGTCCTACTGGTGGACACTGGGTTGGACATGCTGCTACGGAGGAAGCCCCCTCCCCAGCTTCCCACTTGAAGATACTCTGTATTCGTGCCCAGGGAAAGGAGTCCCCATCTGCCAAAAGCTCTGGCCTTGGAGGTCCCCCATGTCCTATCCAGCCCCCAGATCCGCAACTCATGACTGAGTTTTTAGGTCTGACCTCCTCCATGCTGGTCTCATTTCCCCCTCCTCTCTCACTCCCCCTGCCCCCCTCAAGGCTCCTTGTGAGAGGAAGCTGTTTGTCAGAGCTTGGGTGGGGGTGGGGAGTGAGGACAGCCCTGGTGACTCATTGATGAGAACTTGGGGTGATGCATAGTGGGGGGCGGGGGGAAGGCAGGGGGCATGTGCTGAGCCACAGTTGTGGGCATTTGCTTTCCGGATTGCTCATCGGTTTGTGATTTCAGCCCATTTCCAGGGTGACGAAAGGGCCTCAACTTAGGCGGTGGAGTCTTGGC